TCAGGACAACCAATACACAAGTTAGAAACATAGCACAACAGTTGAACATCAGAGGAACAAGTTCTAGGTCACCTGAGCTCAAGTTATAGAAGCTGTCTTCCATGTACAACTCTAGATAATGCCACTTCATTTATTCAACAAGAAATTATTAAGGCAATGACTCCTTAGAAGACTAAAGGATATGACATAATAATCGGTCTTGGGTCAATATTACAAGTAAATATCTTTATCTAGTCCAAGCAACAAAGAGAAAGTGATTATTTGGGACATTCAGTGAAGTTTTCTCAAAGGAAAAGGGGACAGCTGTTTTAGGTTTTGAATAATAAATTGAGTATACTCCCACCCAAAGAAACCAAAAGTGATTTTATATATATAAACTCTTTAGATCCAGTAAGGTCAGTGGCACAGCAAAGCTACTAAAGATGGACCCCTGTCTTTATTATGATCAAGCTGAAAAGACTGGTGCTTTCCTAATTTCTAGGTCACCTTCTCCCTCTTGTGGACCTATGATTAGACCTGCAGATATATCCATTTATTTTTTCTATCAATGATGTTTCTGCTGAGCACTCTCTGGAAAATCCCCATGTGACTAGTGCTGAGGCATCAAACAAGTTAGTTGGCCCACAAAGCCTCAAGAGGCTTCAGACTGCTCCAACTCCAAAGCAATTCCCTCACAAAGTCTAAAAAAACTGAGAAATCAAATGCGGGGTTCCAACTCTAACCTTCAATGTTCTGGGCCAAATTTCCCCAATCGTCTTTTATCATAAGGGTAAAGTGCAGATCAAAAGACATCAGTTCTCAGAACACAATCTTACTAAATACTTCAGACGAAAGGCCTTGTCACCTTTCTGGAGAAGGAATGCAGACATAATTTAGTTGAGGAAGATTTGGCCCAGATTTTGATATCCCATTCGTTGGGATTTTTACAGTGAACTTCCCAAACTGGGATCACTTCAAAAAAACTCATCAATGCAGTTCTATGGGCTATTAACTAAAACAGTGTTTCTCCTGTATCCCTAAAACATTGTATTGGTTATATTTTTACAGAGAGACAATAATTACAAATGATCTATTAGACCTCCAATATCTTACAAGAGAGTTGACTTAAGAACCCACTCCCCCCTCGCCAATGATCTATAGGAGCAACAGAGGTTCCGATAGAGAAAACTGAATATGCGAAAGCACTAATTGCAAATGAAGAGGAGAAAAGAGTGCCCTCTTTAGGACCTAAGGGTTTGAATCCCACCGTTGTTATAAGCACCTCTTAAAAAGTCATTTCTGCCCATCTAAGTTTTTTCATCTATTAAAAAAAAAAAAAGGCTGGACTAAATACACTCTAGGTTTTCTCCAGTTTTAAGATGCCATTTAAATAATTTTCTCTTTTTCCTAATACCAGCCTTTCGAAGCCACAGGGACTCCTGCTGCAAGCTGCAGGGAGCCATAATACCTTGATCTTCTGCTAGATCCTGGGCTATTAGACCCAAAAAGAAGTTTCTGGGGGCGCCTGGTGGCTCAGTTGGTTAAGTGTCTGTCTTTGGCTCGGGTCACGATCCTGGCGTCCTGGGATCCAGCCCCACATCGGGCTCCCTGCTCTGCGGGAAGCCTGCTTCTCCCTCTCCCACTCCCCCTGCTTGTGCTCCCTCTCTCACTGTGTCTCTCTCTCTGTCAAATAAATAAATAAAATCTTAAAAAAAAAGTTCCTGGTGGTGAGGAAAAGGCCTGCCACCCAAGCTATAAGCTGTAAGCTGGAGTCAAGACTACACAAGCAGCTTGCCCTCTACTGCCCACAGGCAAAAGGAGACAAACTGTGAACTGGTTATCACAGCTCAGCAACAGAACTATACACACTTGTGCTTAATACACACTTGTGCTCAATATTCTATTTGCAAACATTATTAATTAAATCAGCAGCACCGAAGATCAAAATATGCTTCTTTTGTCTATCTCCTACTACAAGGCCAAAGAATAAACCTTCTCCCTTCAAGTAGACTAAGGACACCTTCCTTTCCTGCCGGCCAGCCTAGTCTAGCGGCAGCAACAGCCCAACAGTGACACCTGCTGGGGAAATCCAAGCAAGGGCCAGCTCGTCAGCTAGAGAACATCAGGTCCCTTTTTGAAGGTGGCAGAAGATACTGAGTAGCACCTGTATGTATTAGTAATTTACACTAGAATGCAGCCACTCAAATTATGAGGAAGTGATGGCCCTTCTATAAAGGCTATGCACTTGGAATATTTTACAATGTACCTCACTTTTGAGGAGGCTGTCAGCCCCCACAGTACATCTCATCCTAGCTCAAGTGACTCCATAAATCATGTAACTACTATATTTTACAATGAAACCATGTATTATTTGTATATTTTTAAAAGAAGAAATATATATACACAATTGTTTACAGCAAGATGGCAAGGGCTTTCATTTACTACAGCCTACATTTTTAAACATCTGAACTTTTTTATTTAAAACACAAACACAGTTTCTGGGTTTTAAACAGTACTTTTATTAAGAAGTGATTAATACTTTAATCACATGTGGCTATTTACATTTAGTTAAAATTTTAAAATGTACACGTAGCTCCTCAGCTCACACTAGCCACATTTCAAATGCTTAATAGCCACATGTGGCTAATGCCTACCATACTGGACAGCACAGATACAGAACACTTACATCACTGTAGAAAGTTTTATTGGACAGCATTGCTCTAGAGAAACAGATTAGAGTATTTTCAGATGAAATTATATGATGTCGGGGGAGTGAACAGGGGATACAGATGAATGAAAGCTGGACAAGTGTTAATAATTTCTAAAGTCAGATGATAGGTATATGAAAATTCACTTATACTTTACTCTTTATTTTTATATGTTTGAAGATTATCATAATAAAAAAACTAAAAGAAACTAAAAATAAATAAAAATGGTTCACCTAAAAATGAGGTATCATACTAAGGAATATACCATGGTTGGCAGCTTAGAAAAATCTGTAGTCATACAAACTAGAATTCAAATCTCCACTCAGCAACCTACTTAGGGATCTTTAACAAGAAACTCGACTTCTCTGAGCCTCACTTTCCTCAAATGTAAGATGAGACATTTAATACCTGCCTTGCAGAGTTATGGTGGAAATTAGAAATAATTAATGCAAAGATACAGTACCTAACACATAGTAGGCCCTCAGTAATTGGTCTCTCTTATTATTACCAAATAGAGTTTACTTTAAACCACTCAGGTATTTCTCAGAACAACACCAGAAGAGGTACTGCCAAAACAGAATGCACAAAGGCTAACTGACCAGAAGCCCACGGGTACTATGGAAACTGGTCCTGGGAGGCTTTTAGAGCAGTAACTGAAGACCGTTCTTTTACAACTACTTTTCATAAACCTCTTGCATGCCTACTCTATGTCAGGCGCTGTGCTTGCTACCTTCCCACCTCTCTTGACAAAGAGGAGTAAGTCTCAGGTTCCTAATATGGGTCATTATACAAGGCAAAATATTCCAAAGCTGGGAATTTAGGAGATGTTAATCCAGAATTGGTCTCAATTATATGAGCATAGTAACAATCTCTATTGTTTTGTCTATCTTTCATATCCAACCAAGTGTCCTATCTTCCCCTGAGCAACAGCCCCTAGTAACTACCATGTTGCACTGAACATGTTCTTTCCTGTCTTAGAATGTGCTGGTCCCCTAAAATACAAAGGTCTTTCCCTTTCCAAATCCTACCCATCTTTCAAGACTTGATTTTGTACAGCCTTCTCTGATGGTACTTCCCTTTCTCTGAAATGAGACTGCATTTAATCTCAGTACCACACAATGAAGCATTTGGGTCATCTACATTTTTTATATAATTGCATGTAAATAAGTCCTGCCTCTATAATAACACTCCCAGCTGGTAAAGACCAGGTATATTATACTTCTTTTGTATTCCCTACAGTGCCTAGCACAGTGCTGGAAAAATTGTAACCGTTCAACAAATACTTATTAACTGGGTAACTCTCTCTAAAGCATTCTCCCAAAATAAAAAGTACATTATGTGCACAATCCATATTCCCACCCTTGTTAGAAGCTTATGTCGGAAATTTCAGTTGCTTCAACAGAGGATGTAATGCAGAGCAATATGCTGTTTGGATCCAACAGGCATATTCTGGGAGTTGGTGATTACGCTAGATGTGACCTTTACAGAATTACAGAAAGAAGTCCCTAATAAATCAAGATAGATGCGCACATAGCCATACATGGAACATGTGGTGGGCGGTCAGCTACACCCACTCTGTTTCTTCCATGGAAGAGCTGCCTGGGATGCTGATCTGAGTATGGAGAGGCCTTCCTTCTATGAATTATTCTTCTTCCCCACCTTGAGGTGAATGTCCATCTGGAAGATCTCCTCAAAGAATCTTAACTAAGCAACTAATTTGCTATCTAAAAAATAATATATTTTTATATACATATATGTATGTATGTATATGTACGTATTATTTTCTTTTCCCTTTTGTCAAGTTGCAATATTCCAAAAGATAGGGTTTAAAAGATGAACACAGCTGTCCAAAGAGACACGACTGAAAAAGAGCCAATACACTAATCTGTACCAAGCAGGATTCTCTTTTACTACTTATTCCTAAGCGCTCTGGGACATTTTCTTTTTTCACAGTAACTAGTGTTGCACATACAATCCTCCAAGAAGGTCAAAAAGCAGGGCAGAGGAAGTCAATGGCTCTAACTCCTCTCGTGCCTCTAACCTGATCTACGTTCTCCTTTAAGGCTAAAGGTCTCACGAGCTTAGCCAGAAAAGGAGCTAGCAGAACCAAGTGACTTATACTGTTAGGCCCCATTCTATCTCTGCCACCAGAGCAAGATTTTCCAAGAAGATGCAATGGACATCAGGGAGACCAAAACCAGATGCATGGGTTCCAGACACTCCAGATCCAGCCACAACATCTACAGGACTGAAGGAAGAGACGTAAGGAGAAAAGTAAGGGATGCAGGAGAAAACAAGAAAGCACCTGCTTACCTCCTGAGTGAATCTTCCTCAGAGCTCTCCTCAGGCATATCCTGATGTAAGGCTTCCTGTGATACAGTTCCAGATCTGCTAGACTGGGTGTAAATTCTTTCCCAGTGGCCCGTCTCCTGGTTGAAGGCCACCCCCACAGTCCTCTCCTCCTGCGGACTAGCAGAGCTGCTCAACTCCAGCCTGCTGGAGCTGGGCGTTTGGCCCTCAGTCCGCTCAAGGGGTGGCAGCTGGCTGCCACTCGATGGCATGCCCTCGAAGGTGCTGGGGACCTGCCAGGAGGAGCTGGCCTCGCTAGAGGAGTAGTTGGGTGTGGTTCTTTCCCAGCGCAGGGTGTCGTTGTTGAAGGTCAGGAGGTTGTGGCAAGCGCGACAGCGGTTCAGGTGGCCACGGGACAGGTTGGAGTTGTTCTCACTACTGTGTGGGGTGGGCTGGTGGGAGGGGCCTGGCCTCTCGGACTCAATGTTGTTATTGAGCATTTCCTGGGCCTGTTGGGTCTGGGGGGCTTCTCCACTCAGGCTGTGGTCCAGCTCCTGAAGCCGGTCATATTCCAGAAAGAAGCGTCTCAGGTCACACTGAAGCTCATGGCGAATGCAGCCTGAGTTGTTTTGGCTGGAGCCACTTCCTCCATCTGACTCAGCGGCCAGCCCTGAAGCTGGAAAACCCCTCCCTTCTGTGGCTGAAGTGTACACAGACGCTTGAGAGCCACCTTCCTGCTGTCTCAGCACAGACAGCAAACTCACCGAAGAGGCACTGGTCCTGGGCGGAGGCATGGATTCCGCCTCAGAGCGGGAGTTCAGACTGAGCACTGTCCGGGTCCACTCGGACCCTGTCAGCCCAGGAGCTATCTCTCGGTGATACCTAGAAGGGTGGCTGGACAAAGGGCCTCCCAAAGAGCGCCGGGTGGGACCCAGACTGAGGTTGCGGAGCGTGTTGCCGGCAGTGCTACTCTGGACTGTACTGAAGGCAGACGGCCGGTTCAGGAGGCCCTGGTCCTGCTGCGCTGACGAGGCCTGCTCCGGGGGATGGAAGGGCTCGGTCTGTACAAAAGAAAAGGAAGGGGTAGTAGCCCTGGCAGAAGCAGGGGGGACACTGTCCTGGTGTGGCAAGAGGGAAGGAACTCGAGTGCCAGAGCAGCGGCTGCAAAGGCACAGGATCCCAAGGTGCTGGCAGCACTCAGCTGTGGGGTAACTGACCCGCTGTCGGAGCCGGATGTAAGCGGAAGTCCTGGGGCGCTCCGTGGAGGGCTGAGGGGGAGGCGGTGGGGGTGAGGGGGTAGCAGAATCTTGCACTGTGCTTTGCTCTCCCACCTGGATGCCAGAGGAGCGGGAGGACAGCATGTGCAGGAAATTGTGGAGGAGAGGCGTCCGGCGAACTGGCTGTGATTGCAGCAGGGCACGCTGACGGTAGTGGGATAACTCTGTTCCGTCTATTGGGATCTCTGGTTCATCATCACCCTGCAATGTGGAGCGAGGTGGGGCAGGGGGAGAGCAAGGCAGTTAGGTAGAACCTCCAGGTAAATCAAGGAAAACTAACTACTGACAACCAGCCAAGGAAAACAATCTTCATGGAGAGACAATAACCCTACCCTGAAGCACTGAGGACTAACTGGCTTCAGCTTCAGGATCATCCTATGGAATTAAATTATTCACTTCCAATTAGTGACATTTCTGAATGGGTAAGGGATTCTTTTACAAAGTGCATCTCTCTGACACGGAGGCAGTGAGGGAAGCAAAAATGTCAACCACCAGAGGCACAAAAATGACAAGCTATCCAACACTACTTCGAATAAGGTGATCACTGGAGGTTTCAGAATGGACTCCCCCGTCAAGACTATGACTAGCACTTTAAATATGCAGTCCAAAGCTAGTTTTCAATCTCGACTGAAAAAGAAACACTTGGGCATTACAAATTACAAGTCCAATATAATCGGAATTGGAACGCTAGTTTAGAAAACCACTCCCAGTTTAGATGGGGTTGGAACTGCTGACTAACTTACCTGCTGATTAGAGGGGTTAACAATGGCTGTGAGTAAGTAGTGTCCAAGAGGATCAAATCTCACCAGACTGAAAACACAAAAGAGAAAGACAGACACACACAGATGTTAACTGAGAAGAGGAAGCCTGTGTTCAAATGTATAGCAATCACTACTGATAACTGTGGGATTACCCAGGTATCCACTTCATGCTAGAAACTTTCAAAACTTTCAAAGAGATCAAAATAATAGGGCTCAATACTTCTTGGTACCTCCTCACACTTGCCAGAATAAGGGAATATGTATCACAAAAATAATTTCAAAAAGCATCTAGGCTTCAGTACCAAGAAGCAGCTGCATTAGACAAATGCTTGTTCATAGCGAAGAGCCTATCATAACAGTAAAGCGTAGCACACTCCCATACCCTGCCACAGGGTTAGTTCTTCCTTCACGAAGCAGCTACACTGGCAAGAAGCAGGAGTTCTGGTGACAATGAACAGTCTCAGCACCAAGTGACATAGCTGAGACTAGAAAACTTTCTTATATCCAACCTCAATACCAAGAGGACCAAAGAAAACCAATGCATCAACTTTAATTCAGGCAATGTGTGTTTTGATCTTGAGGGCTAAATATCAATTAGCAGATCTGATACACTTGACATCTCCATTTTCCAGTTTGATAAACACAAATAACTGATGTTAGCAACTTCCCGCCAAGTTAACCTCCACCTGAACACCTTTCAGGTTTCCCAAAAAAGGGCCTTACCCCAAACCCAGATAGTTTTGAACCTAAAAGACATTCTAACAACCCTAGTCTACAGAGACCAGGAGATGAGACCAATCAGAAACAGCTAAAATGAACTAGATTGGCCAGCAGCTTAAAAAGTCGGAGGAGCACCTGCGTGGCTCAGTCGGTTGGGCATTTGCCTTCAGCATAGGTCATGATCCCAGGGTCCTGGGATCAAGCCCCGCACGGAGCTCCCTGCTCAGCGGGAGCCTACTTTTCCCTCTCCTCCCCACTCATGCTCTCTTCTCGCTCTCTCTCTCTCTCAAATAAATCAATAAAATCTTTAAAAAAAAAAAAAAGTTGGAAGAGCTGTACAGATAACCACCTGCTCTGAGCAGGTATAGCAAACTGCTTCCTGAGGTGACAGCAAGTGTAAATGTTCTCTGCCATGTTAGTCTTATGCCAGACATTGCTGGTGGGCAGAGCACTCACCGGACCCGTTCCATCTCGCTAGCTGTCTTCACCACAGCGAAGGGCTCCCGCCGACTCCAATCCCAGAAGTGGATCTCGTTGGCAGTGGCAATCAACAGGAGCTGAGCCGTAGGGTGGAAAGCCAGAGAAGCAATGGCATTGTTGCTGTCTGTGAACCAGCTTTCACTGCCACCCTATAAATGAACCAATCCCAAATATTCTCAGGTTACAAACTGATAGCAGACTGGGATGTCAATTTCAAGAAAGGACCATTTAAGGTAAAATGACTACTTATAGGGCCTACTTTAAATATGTCCACTGTAAAATGTAGAAAATCAGTGATCTGGCAGTGTCACCAATTTATCAGAAAATTATTACTGTCAGCTCAGTTCACCAAGGCATCTACAATCCAAAGCAATGAGCATCCACACAGTTCCTGCTTCTGAAGCCTGTGAAAACGCACGCTTGGTGCATGACATGGTGCACAACAACCCACTAGCAAGTCATCAGGACAAGAAGCGTACTGCTTTGGCAATCATGATCAGAATACAGTACAATCCTTGCTCTAAAAAAAAAGCATCTATCCTGAACATATTTTAGAACCTCCTATACTATGTCACGATGGGCAGATGGAAGAATAGTTAAATAGGGTGTTCATCTTAGAATGGAGAAATAGGGACTAGACTTCCCCTTATTTAAGTGGGCAACGAATACCACTTACTCAGAGGTAGTCCTAAGAACCTGGCTAGTCTCTCCTCCAGTTAAGAACTCAATGGTAAACAACTCTCTGCATTTAGAATACCAAAGAAATGGAAATACTTACATGCAAATCCCAAATCCTGACCTCCCCATCTAGGCAGCCAGAAGCAATAAGGCCTGAGATGGTGGGATGAAAAGTGACACACCACGGAGTACGGCGGTGTCCAATCAAAGAATGAACACATTTGCCAGTCTTCACCTCCGTAATATAGATATTATGGTTCACGTGGGTGGAGGCCAACAGAGTCCTAGGGAAGCAAAGAGCAGGAAATGAATGTGAAGCATGTAGGAGGGTAACAAACTTTATCAGTTCTGGATAATCGGCTTTCGAGTATTCCCCACCCCAATGTGGAAAAACTACACCTTAGGCATCACAAACAACAGAAGTATTCTGATCTTTAAAAGCTTTGGCTTCTCTACACTGTCCCCAAATGACACAAATCCCCTTCAGAGACTATTTTTTCCCAGCTGAAAAATAATCCATGCCATCAGTGGCCTATATCACACCGGCAAAGGATTGTAATTGAGAAACTTTCCAAGTTTAGATGCTCAAGGTCCATTGTTTCCTTTGCTTATCCCCATTATTTCTATGGTTAGCACTGCTTATCTACTTTCTTTCCCCTTCTGGCAAAGCTCTGTTCATGCAAAGCTTCAAAGAACCCTTAGGGATGTTACCAAGCTCGGGCCAATATACAGAAAGCAATGCTGTACCAAGTCTTAAGTTATAGATAAGCACCAGGTACCTGTCTGGGCTGAAGGCCAGTAAGAAGGTAGAGCGTGGACTATCCGGCAGTTCTACTCTCTGAAAAACAAACCAAAAAAAGTTAAGATACATTATTTATAAACTATGGCTCACTCTTTCTCAAAAGCACACGAGCCACTGTAGATTAGTATTCAGTATAAGCTAAAAAACTGGAGACAATGATCAAGCCACAAGTTGAGAGAAAGAAATCCAAAATACCTTTAAAAAAAATGTCTAGCTCTAAAGGGAAAAGATATTTCTAGCCCATAAATTCTTCCAAATTTATTTTTAAAACTCTGTTAAGTTAGATATCAATTCCCTCACACAAAATAAATTACACCCCCACTCTACATCATTAGCCCATTCTAAAACCCCATTCTATGGTCACCCCTACAAACCCAACGTCAAAAATATGTTCTTCCTACCTTGCCCTCCCATTTCATCCACCGAGTTTTATCTTCCACTAGCTCCTGCAGAAGCCGTTGCGCTCCAAAGGTCCGAGTGCCCCGTTCTCGCCCCCAGAGTATCCGGACAGCATTCTTCTCTGGAACCACCTTCATGGCGCTCAGCAGCCACTGTCACACCAGGCACAGGAAGAAAAGGAGCGAGCAATAGCTCCACAAGCTGAAGCAGCTAAAATGAAGCCATTCAGGTCCTTGTAAGTTGTCTTCATGGAAATCTAAAGGATGGACATTAAAGTCAAAGAACATCTATTCTGCAATCAGAGAAGCTTCCCACTGCAAATACAATTCTAGCTCAAAGAGCTAAGTATTTTTTCATTTAATGACACTATCTCAGGAAAGACCCTCCTCCCAAAACTTTTTTTTTTTTTTTTAAGATTTTATTTATTTATTTGACAGAGAGAGAGGCAGGGAGAGAGGGAACACAAGCAGGGGGAGCAGCAGAGGGAGAAGCAGGCCTCCCGCGGAGCAGGGAGCCCGATGCAGGGCTCGATCCCAGGACCCTGGGATCATGACCTGAGCTGAAAGCAGACGCGCAACGACTGAGCCACCCAGGCGCCACCCAAAACTTTTCTTCCAAAAATATTTCATCCTTGGGGCGCCTGGGTGGCTCAGTTGGTTAAGCGACTGCCTTCAGCTCAGGTCATGATCCCAGGGTCCTGGGATCGAGTCCCGCATCGGGCTCCCTGCTCTGCGGGGAGCCTGCTTCTCCCTCTCCCACTCCCCCTGCTTGTGTTCCCTCTCTCGCTGTGTCTCTCTCTATCAAATAAATAAATAAAATCTTTAAAAAAAAAAAAAATTTCATGCTTTTTTTTTCCAAGTTTTTTTTTTAAATTCTAGTTAATTAACATATATGGTAACAAAAATATTTCATCCTTAAATTTTTCTCATATCCTCAGTAGCTCAGCCTTATATCTAAAGAATAGATCATTCTCTAAAGCAGTTACTCTTATTATTTTATCAGGCAGGAAGAACTTTTGTTACTAATAAAATTCTAAAAACCTGTCAAAAACAAAACACAACACAGCACCTGCCCTCCCTTCTGCACCACACTGCCTCCCTAGCCACCAGCCCCCCTCCTTATCACTTGGGCAGCCTCCAAGCCAAAGAACAGGTAACCAATTTTAAAAGGTCATTACTTGAGTTCTAGCTCTCTCTTTTTTTTTAGCGGGCAGGAGAGAGAATCTTAAGCAGACTGCATGCCCAGCACAGAGCCCAACGCGGGGCTCGATCTCACAACCCTGAGATCATGACCTGCGCTGAAACCAAGAGTCGATGCTTAACCTACTGAGCCACCCAGGAGCTCCGAAGTCTGGTTCTTATGCAATAGCTTCAACTCTATCTCCTACCTAAAAGCATGTGCATGAGGACTACTTTGGGGTAGCTTTCTCACTCTCTTTTTCTCTTCTCCACTAAAGTTCCAGAGCAGCAGAGAGAGGATAAAAGAGAAGAAAAAAATTTAATTCCTTTTTCTCATCCACCAAGCCATAAGGGCATAAAACTATCACAAAATAAAAATTCAACTAAAATGTCAACCAGCAGCAAAATATACACACATGCAACAATTAAAGAATATGCAACCCAATAAAATGGCATTTCAGAAAAATACATGTAAAATGTTATTCACTATAGCACTGTTTCAACTGTTATGAAAAATTTCAAATGTGCAGAAAAGTTGGAAAAAACAATACAATAAACACACTATTCACAACTTAGACTCAAGAATTGTTAATATTTTGTCACATCTGCTTTATCTGGCTCTATGAACACACTACATTTGTGTTGTTTTTTTACTTTTTTCTGAACCATTTCATCAGGTTTCAAGATGCTTTAACCCTATATACCTCATTGTGCATCTGCTAGGAATAAGGACATTTGACTTCATAACCACAATACCAGTAAGTACACTGATTATCATCTAATATTCAGTCCTTATTCAAATGTCCCCAACTGTCTAAAAAATGTCTTTAATAGTTGGCTTACAAAAAAAAAAAAAAAAATCCAACCAAAACTCAAGCAATGAATTTGGATGTCATGTCTCTTTAGTCTCTTTTACTCTAGAATGGCCTCCAAGTTTTGCCTTGGTTGGTTTTACATTTACTTACTTACGACATAAGCTTATTTTTTTAGAGGGGGACTGGCAGGGGGAGAGAGAGAATCTTTTTTTTTTTTTTTTTAAGATTTCATTTATTTATTTGACAGAGAGAGAGCACAAGCAGGCAGAGCAGCAGGCAAAGAGAGAAACAGGCTCCCCACTGAGCAGGGAGCCCAATGAGGGGTTCGATCCCAGGACCGAGGGATCATGACCTGAGCCGAAATCAAGAGTCACCCACGTGCCCCCAACACAAGTTTTTTTAAAGCCCAGGACACGGGCGCCTGGGTGGCTCAGATGGTTAAGCGTCTGCCTTCGGCTCGGGTCATGATCCCAGCGTCCTGGGATCGAGCCCCGCATTGGGCTTCCTGCTCAGCGGGGAGCCTGCTTCTCCCTCTCCCTCTGCCTCTCTCCCTGCTCATGCTCTCTCCCTCTCTCTCTGT